TGTATTATTATAATATATAAATACAAATTATTCTATATAAATTATTCTATACAAGTAAACTTTATATTATATTAAATGAAATACCAAAAACTATCACTAAAATACCAAAAACAATCTAAATCTGGCAACTATACCATTGTCTGTGTTTACATCTACTTATCAAAATTAATTAAAATTTAATTTATATTATTATTGCTGTAGAGAAAGTAGAGTAAAAACAGATTTATTGCAGAAGAGGATATCGTTCATTTATGAGATGTTTTACATTAAGCTAATCACTAATAATAATCACTAATGAGATTTGACTGTATAGGCAAGTTTAGTTGGATAATGTAACAAATATTAATTAAAATCATATCTTTATATAATTAAAATTTACATTAAATTAATTTAAATACAGTTTCATTTTTAAATAATAAAATAATTTTTTTTATTTAGTTAATTATTCTTATATTTGCACTTATAATTTTATAATTTTAATGGATATTAATAGTTTTACCTTTCTATTCAGTAAGAAGAATTTTTTAGGTGTTATAGTAAATTATTTCTATAAGAAATTTTTAAGAACAAAATAAAATTATAATAAGTTTAAAGCATGAGTGCTTATAGTTTCATTAGAGCTGAATTATCATTAGAATTAATAAAGTTTGATGCCAGATTATATAAATAACACATTAAACTACTGTCTTTTGGCATTAAAAGCTTTTATATAAGCATAAAATATATATACAAGTACTTTCGATGATGCATTATCATCTTTGTTGGGCAAAATTTTTGTATAATGGCTTACCAAATTTTTAAAACAAATTTTATGTCATTTTTTAACAATTTGTATTTCTTTACATTTAATTGAAATTATGTTTGTTATATATTTATCCATGTGAGAGGAAAAATTTTAAGAATTAACACAAGTTTAAAATTATTTTTTAATTTGTTTATCATGTGCATATATATAATATATATATTATTCATGTTATATAGTAACATATAATGTTTAATTAGCCAGAATATTGGGGATTGAGTGCTGATGAAGAAGGCTGCAAAGCTTGTGATTGTGATCCTGGTGGCTCATACGAAAGCAATTGTGATGTGAAAACAGGTCAATGTAGATGCAGGTTTCATGTCATGGGAAGACGATGTGATCAACCAGAAGCAGGATATTTTGTTCCTGATTTAGACTATCTAGTGTATGAAGCTGAACTTGGAAAAGGCAGCTCTGTGAGTGTTAATATATTATTTAATAAAGCTATTAATTAATTTCAATTAATTATTTAAAGCTTTTAAATTGATTTTATTTAAATTAGTTTTAGTTTTTGGTCAAATTTTTTAAACTAATAGTCACAATTTATGAGAGCCAAATTTTTATTGATTATCATCAATTTTAAACTAACTTTATATTCAGTATTTGAATAACAAATAGATATTTATAAAAATAATTTTTTAGAACAAAATCCTGATGAAAATAATCAAGAGAACCATGAAATCTTAATAAATACAGTTTAATTCTTTTCTAATTCATTTAAATTTGGTTTTATTCTAATTTTCATTTTCATAAAGTCCTAAAATTATGTTTAAAAAATAATACTATAGTTAGTAGAATGACTGACTATAAATTTAAAATACTTTTAATTAATAAAGATAAAATTACTGATTTTTATAATAAAAATTTCTGCTTTATTATTATTATTTATTTTTTCATTAAATATATTATTGTTTTTTCTTTACATCATACATTATAAAAAAGTCTTATTTGTAGATTTGTTAAAATCAAATATACATTTTATAAAAATCATTCAAATGAAAGGTGGTGACATTTTCTAAGACACTAGACATTTTCTAAGCAGAAAAATGCATAATGCATTTTATGACAAAAAAGCAAATTACACTGGACAACAAAAAAAATGTTTTTGAATGTTTCCTTTATTTCATGAGTGAAATCTTACTAATTTTGGTTTGAGAAAATTGAATATGACAAATAAAAATTTTTATTAGCTCTAGTTTCTGTGGTATACAATAGATGACTTTAACATCATAAGAGAAAGTGATACATTTTAATTACATATGCTAACAACATTGAAAGTGCTTTTTAAATTACAGTAACATTCTAAGAGTTCTAAATTAATAGAATAATACCTGGCAGGTAGTTCGGTGTGAAGAGAATCATGTGGTGACTTCATGAGATCATTTTCTTTTGGCTTGCCTCTTGTAAGTGCGTTCTGATGCATCCCTACACACAGACCAGAAGTAATCCGCAAGCATTGTTTCATTCCAATGGCCCTGATATCTTTGTTCCAATACAGAAATATCCTGGTGGAATCTTTCTCCATGTTCATCACTGACAGCTCCACAACTAGGAGGGAAAAAGTCTAGGTGGGAATGGAGAAAATGGATTTTGAGGGACATGTTGCATCCAAGTTGATGATATTTTTCCAGAAGTACTGTCACCAACTGAGTGTAGTTATCTTCTCTTTTGTTGCCTAAGAATTCACAAATAACTCCCTTTAAGGTTTCCCAAGCTTCCTTTTCTTTTCCCTCCAAAACTTGGAGGGAAAAGAAAAGGAAGAATGGAAGCAATGCAGGATCCTTTACAAGTTTTCAAATTCGTGGCCCAACAAAAATACCTTCCTTAACCTTTGCATCACTCAATCTAGGAAATTTGTCTCTTAAGTACTTAAATGCCTGTCCTTTCTGGTTCATACCTTTGATAAAAGTTTTCATTAAACCCAGCTTGATACGAAGGGGTGGAAGAAGAACATCTTTTGGGTCCCCGAGAGGCTCGGCAACGATATTTTTCTCAGTAGAGTCAAGATTTCTTGCAGGCCAGTCCGCATGAATGTAATGTGATTTCCTATCCCTACTGTCCCACATACATAAAAAGCAACAGTATTTAGTGTACCCCAGTTGCATTCCTAAGAGTACAGCGATGACTTTTAGATTGCCACATATTTTCCATTTGTGCTCAGCATGATTGAGTCAAGGAGGGCTGTCATGTTTGCATAAGTCTCCTCCATGTGAACAGCATGACCAACAGGAATAGAAGGAAGATGGTGCCATGTGAAGTAATACAGCTTTCAAACTAAGTTTAGAGGAGTTTATGAATAGCCTCCATTCACTTGGAATATGGTTCAAATTCAAACATTTCATCAAGCCATTAATGTTGCAGCAAACAACCAGATTGTTTTTCTTCTGAAAAAAAGGAAGCAGATCCCTCTGACATTCTCTGAACTGTGAGATCCTGACATCACATTGGAGAAGATTCCATTGCTGTAGTCTTGACCCTAGAAGTTCCGCCTTCTGCTTTGACAAGTCTAGGTCTTGAATGAGATCACTCAATTCCACATGACTCAGTCTGTGCAATGTATCATCTTTTACCTCAAAATCAGGGTCATGAGATGTGGAAGGCTTGTAGGGTTCTTCGTCTTCCACACTGTCTTCATTTTCTACTTCAAGCTCATAATGTTTAGGTGGAGTAGGAACTGGTAAACTGTCTGAATGTGGAATAGGTTGAATAGCAGATGGAAGATTTGTGTATTGAACTGTTCCTTTTTTCTTCTTTGACAATCCTGCCTTTATGGTGGGGTCAAGCAGAAATAGCAGTCATCTGTATGGTTTGTAGACTCCTGTCAAACCATAGGCACAGCAAAAGCCATAGATCGTTTTTTTATTTTTCGGCCATTCTCGTAGTATAACTGAACAAGAGTTGCAACATATATGTGGAGCCCATGACTTATCCTGGTCCCCTACTTTCATACCAAAATATGGTGATAGGCAGTCTTTACGAGAGATGTCAGATTGCATTTCTGTGATGAAAAATATTATTTCACCACAAATGTAACAAAAATTGTTCACTAAATTAACAGATTTTCATGGCATTTTGGTATAACCAGTATAATATTACACTTCAAAAGCACTCCAAAACCAGAAATTTGACTTGACCAAGCAAGAGCACTACTAAGAGTGAGATATTCTACAATTGTTCAAAGAAAAACAATCATAAAATCTATTTACAGTGTAGTGACATTTTTCCTCCAATAGTGTAATAAACGTATACACATTGTGAAGTTGAAAACTTGATAATTGCAACCAGATGTTCTGTTCTTTATAAATGTTTTTATATGTATAATAATTTTATACAAAAATAAATGCAATGAAATATCTTATATCAGAAAAATATATATTCTATAATAGAGTGTAGTTTTATTATATGCTGATCTGAGGAGTTTTACATGAAAAATGCCAATGAAAATTTCAAATAATTGAAGATGCACTATTTTGTAATGAAACATTTTTTTACAAATTTTACTATAAAACCTTTCTCATATATTTTGTATTATTTAGATTATGTCAATCGTTTTAAATTATAATTTAAAATGAATAAAAGTTTTAATCTTTTGCGGACCATATTTTAATTCTTGCGGACCACTGGTTGGGAACTGCTGCTCCAAAGCAAGAGCTAATCGGTCATTTTTTATAATGATTTTTGAATTCAGCAGATGAAAATACATAAGAATATGCTAATTTTGAGCCTGAAACAAAATCATTGTTGTCCAGTGTTATTTATGACTAAAAGAAGGCTAAAAGCAAAATTCAACACTGTTCAACTACTCCATTTGACATGTGACACATCAGAGTGATTGTTTGTGTACATCAGTAAAATGCCATATTATTCAAAGTAATATGGCAGAAAACAAGAAATGACACAGCACAATCAAATTATAAATATTTCTAGATAATGTAAGAAAATGTACTGAATTATATGATAGAATTTATAAAAATGATAAGGATTTGACAATTAAGTATTCTGTAAAGCTCTAAGTTAGTAGTAATATTTGATTTATAACTTTGTGTTTCTAAATGGCATTGTATATTTTATTTGGTTGTCTAATGTATCTCTGTTCAAAAGAAAAACAGAAAAGTGACTGAAACATATTTTTTGCTATAAAGCAGTAACTCCATAGGTGTAACATCCTTAGCAGAAAACAGAAACAGAAGTTGGCAGCTATTTCATATTCTGTCTGGTTTCAGTTTTCTTTGTTGTCATAGGATTCAAATACAGAAATTAAGATGCACTTTAATAGGCCAAAAAGTAATTAAAATTCAATATGAATGACATTTATGCAATTACTAATCTTTATTTACTTTTTGTTTAATTACATTGTTGGATATGACTGAAGAACTAAAACATTGTATTTTGGTAGTGCACATAGAATTGAGTGAATGTGAAATATTAGATTACAATAAACAAACATTTAGTTTGCAGAATGCATTTGTATCATTGAAAGTTTTATTTTGAATATATGAGAATGACTCCAGATTTTTTCAATTGAATATTTGAAAAATTTATTTAAAATATTGTAAAAACACTTTAATACATTTTTATACACATTGATTAATCTCAATAGTTGAAAATATTTTTTTGTTATTCCATATTGGAAATATTCCCTCAAGAATCTGTCTCACTTATGCAATAAATCTAGAAGACAAACAACACATTGATAGCTAATGGAGGTAAAGACTAGGGTCAAGATTGTAAAACAGAGAGGCTTAACTAGACATTTGGTTTTGTTTCTGAAGAACAAATACACATACCACAAAAATATTTTCAAAATTTTTTTTCTAACAAAATAGCTTTGAACATTGTTGTCCAAACAACCAGACAATTTTTTAAATATAAAATCCTTATAATTTAGATCTGATTTATTGTTTATATTTCCTTATTTCTACAAATGTATCTAAATTGGCATCATACTTTCTTCTATCTTCCGCCATTTTAAATTTTTCATTGCAATTTAGAATTGACATAATTGTACATGATTTAATATAACATAATATTTTATTGTCTATTCACTGGTTGACATAAAACAGAAACACCACATGGTACTGATAAGTTAAATTTTTCTCAACTTTTCGGCCATGTTTCAGTTAATGTAAACTGAAAAATTTTGTTACTTTCAGTTTCATGTCTTCAATTTTGGCACTCGTTTTTACATTTGTGGAATCACTGCCTAAAAATTTCTGAGCAGAAAAATAGTGTGGTCCTACCTGAAGACTGCAAAACAGCATTATATTATATAACATACTAAAACAGAATACAATCTTGTAACAGTTATTGTTTGAAATCTGCTGACTATTTGTAAATAGTTTTCAAAATGATATCTGTATTTCAGTGTGTGTATTAATATAATGTTATGATTTATAATTTATTAATAGTTCTTGAATTCAGAAAGAATTCAAGAACTATTAATAACCAAAAATTTATTGAAGTGAATTAGAAAATGTTGACTCTGCTTTGGATATGCAGAAATCAATAGTAAATTGAAAAATTGATGAAAAAATTTTAAGAATATTTAAATTGTTTGAGATTCTTCATGGTCTTTATGACAATGGAGAATTGTAAACATTGAATTAAATTACAAGAAGTTATGGAATAGAATTCTTAAGAGAATATTTTGAATTATTATTGAAAAAATTTTTGCATTGTCAAGATTAGTGCTATTTCAACATATATAATATCATTAATGAGGAGTTATAATTTCAAAAAAAATTATATTTATTGGATTCATCAGTATTTACCAATAGAACTGAAGGAATGATATACAGATGTTTCTATTGTTATTTGATGATAGGAATACAAGGAAGACATTTTATTGGAATGCATTATTACTGGAAATAAATTGTAAATGCACTATTTTACTTCAGAAGGAAAACACAAAAGTTCAAACTGGTAATAATAATATATGAGATTGTAAAAGAATAATTTTGGAACAATGTAATGAAGAAAAATGAGAAATAGTTATTATTGTTATATATTTTTGAATAGTTTAAAGTTAACAATCTGTGCTAAAAATTGTGGTTTGTTGTTCCCTGAGTAAAATAAAAGTATTGTCTGTAGAATTCTCTCACTACATTCTAATTTGTTGTTATAACAAAAACAGGAGATGAAATTTGAGATATTATCCTCTGTTTTTATCAGAGAGGACTACTTGTTTTGTCCATAAAAAATTGCACTAAAAGGATATCACTCGTCATCAGATGATAAGCAGGTGGTATGCGTATGACTTCAGAATCAGCAACAAGTATCTCAAAGAAACCAGTTATTATTGGAGAAAGTGTGTCAAATGTAATGAGACCTATTAAAGTTTGGCACATATGTTTTTCTTCTTGTTTAGTAAAAATAATTTTTATTTAACTTTTACAGTTAAATAAAAATAAATAAATATACAAAGAAACTGTATTTCTTGTGTAAATTTCCAAAATTAGATTAGTTGTAATTACAATTTTAAAAATGTGTAACAAATAATGCAATTTTATCTGCAAATATTTGCATAAATAATTATTATAGATTATGATGATTATATTATAGATTTTTATGCAAATATTTAAAGAATAACAAATAATAACTACAATTATTTGATAATTACAATTTTTGAATGGATTTCTTTTTAAATGACAAGTCACATTTTCATATTTAAAAAGAACTAAATGCTTATTAAATACTTATTTTTCAAAGTAATTAAAATTAAAATTTAATAAAAATTTAAAAAATACAACTCATTTTATTTATTCACATTAAATAAATAAACTTTGATATATTTCAAAACTGAGAATTAAAAATTAAATGTAAAAATATTAATAATTAATTTAACAATTCCATAATGATTAATCCATAATAATTTTTTATATTTAAGGATTGTCAAGTATTGGTTCGTGAACCTTATGCAGATAGAGATCCTAGTTGGACAGGACTTGGTTTTATGAGAGTATTTGAAGGTTCTACTCTTGAATTTGATATAACTGATATACCTACATCTATGGAATATGATATTGTTATTCGATATGAATCACAGGTGAGATGATAAATATATGTAATAATTTTTTGATATACCATACATATTTTTATACATTGTTATTAATTAATGTTTTGATAATTAATTATATTCTTTTATCAGTGTATTTTGTCTATTTGATTTATGTTGTTTATATTAAAGAAAATATAAGGCAGCAATAGAAATCAATAAGTTTTAATCATATCTTGTTAGCATTTATATATTATTGAAAATAAGCAATTTAACATTATAAAGTGAGTTTTAAATTTATAATATAATTACTGTTTTAAACCTTTGGATTATCTTAAATAACTGATTTCTTTTATTGGATTCAGGATTAAATATATGGTAATTGCTAACTTATTTAAAACTATTAAGAGTATATTCTGAGTATATTAACAAATGTGAATGAAAATGATCATGTCAAATAATGAAAATTACACTGTGTATCATTTCTTTTCCTATTTATATACTGTATCATATAGGCATGGTATAGTTAATAGATTAACAATTAATGAAGATAAATCAAAAATGCCTTTTTGCAGAGGAGGAAAACTTGGGAAGAGAGATAATTTCTTTTTGTTGGGCAAAAAATGGGAAGTATTGTCTCATTTCAAATACTTGAGTATTTATTTTTTCCTCTCAAGGTTTGTATTCTGTTCATCTTGAAAGAGTTTTGTTAGATTCCAAACAAAAAATGTCAAATATAATGAAATTATTAACAAAAATGAAGATGTTTTTTGTCAAGAATTATTTTAGACTCTTTGATTCAATAGTTAAATTGAGTTTAAGTTACATGTTTCCAATTTGGGATGTAATTTTGTAGAAAAATTAGAAAAAGTTCAATTATGATTTTTTAAATTAATTTTTCATTTAAACTGTTCAGCTTCTGGATCCTTGATAAGGTGCAAATTAAGTATGCCACTTTTGGCAATTGGTCTTTATATGAACATCTTTCGATTTTGGTTTAAAATTCTTGATTTGCCTGAATGTGACTTTAGAAACTTAGTTTACAACAAATTGATGACAGTACAGCAATCATCTTTCATTGATTTATGGCCAAATGTTATTAAAAATTAATTGGAGGAGCTGAGTTTTTCATATGCTTATCAATTTCACGTGTTAGATGATGATGATTTTTCTGCTGAGTTATTATAAACACTAAGTGATAAATATTGGCTGCAAGATAGAATGTACATAAGTCAGAAATATAATTGATTGGACACTTCGTTGTTTTTACACATAATTATTTATTGTCAAATCTAAATTATATGATTAAATCTTCAATAACACAGCTTAGACTAAATGTATATTCTATTTCCTTTAACGGCAAAAGAATAAATATTATGGAAAACACTAGTTGTTCCTTTTGTGATTTGGTTGTTGAGGATATTAAGAATCATATACAGTAAAACCTGTCTATGGCAACCACTCACGGTTCCTTCAAAAAGTGGTCTTTTAGTCAGGTGGTCATCCAATACAGGTGGTGCTATAATACTGTATTTCTGTATGTATTTTGCGCACTTTTTAGCCATTTCTACTAAGCAAAACTCGAGGTGAGCAAAAATAAGCGAATTTTTTCAATGATAGAGCTATATTGGTATTGTATTTTCTTCTCTCCACTTGAATAAAAACCTTTCAATCTCCAGTGTTATTCTTCTTGGCAAACGTTTTCAATCCTACCAGGATCTTCTTCAGGCCACTGTTATAATAAATTCAAACAGTACAAAATCGAACAGGAACTGAATAAATGCGATTCAAATCCTAGAACGTCAACGTTAATGTCAAAAATATAGAACACCACGTTCTTGCTTCGATGACGTCAAAGCTTGTGTAATTTGTGCTTGTAATAAATCCATATTACATCCAATTATGGGTTGTCCCTTCATAGCAAAATTTCCATGCACTAGAGATGTTGACTGCATCTTTGGAGTTAATACATGTGTTGTTTAATCCCGCTTTATAAATTTCTAAGGTCTCCATAATCCTTAGTTGGTCTACACGGTGTGATAGCCTAATTAGATGGGCATTCTGTAGATCAACCTTTATTCCAGGTTCTATGGCTACGGTTGAAAGGGTGGTGGTGTGCTTATTATTATCTATATCATACTTATGCTCCTGGAAACGTTTACGAAGGGATGACAGATTTAATAATAGGTTAGTGTATGTGGGATCAACCAAGCGATCCCTTCGTAAACGTCTCCAGGAGCATAAGTATGATATAGATAATAATAAGCACACCACCACCCTTTCAACCGTAGCCATAGAACCTGGAATAAAGGTTGATCTACAGAATGCCCATCTAATTAGGCTATCACACCGTGTAGACCAACTAAGGATTATGGAGACCTTAGAAATTTATAAAGCGGGATTAAACAACACATGTATTAACTCCAAAGATGCAGTCAACATCTCTAGTGCATGGAAATTTTGCTATGAAGGGACAACCCATAATTGGATGTAATATGGATTTATTACAAGCGCAAATTACACAAGCTTTGACGTCATCGAAGCAAGAACGTGGTGTTCTATATTTTTGACATTAACGTTGACGTTCTAGGATTTGAATCGCATTTATTCAGTTCCTGTTCGATTTTGTATTGTTTGAATTTATTATAACAGTGGCCTGAAGAAGACCCTGTAGGGTTGAAAACGTTTGCCAAGAAGAATAACACTGGAGATTGAAAGGTTTTTATTCAAGTGGAGAGAATTATATTACCTCCAGTATTAGAAGTGAAGTTTATTAGTTGTATTTTCTTATCGGATAACTCAATTTACAGGAGTCATCGCGATTTTATAAGACAGATTTTAAAGATTAATACAATAGTTGCATTTTCTCGATTATAATGCACACTTTCTTTTTCTGATTTAATTAATTTGGCTCGGTTCTTTTCGTTCGCTTTTCAGTTATGTGTATTACGTCATTGATATATAAGTGCGTCTATCTCTCCATCACTTTGGTTTTGGTATTCGTTAGTTTAATCTTATTTTAACTTTAAAAATACTGTATTTTTTAAATATATTTTCTTAAGTACAATAAAAAAAATTATTAATTAATAATAAAACTATTTTATTATTTTTTCTCATTATACTATTTCATTACATTCCACGATTGTCATTGTGGAATCAAGAAAGGAATGTTGCCTGTAAAACTGATTTTTGCATTAATGTGTTTATTGTTTTTTGAATATTTTGTGTGGGAAAATTACTTGGATATTATTTTTCTAAAAATATCTTGGAAATAAGGTAGGTTGATACAGAAACTATTTATCGCACATGTAATGTATATGAGCTTCTAAATAAATAAAAATAAATTTTATCAAACGATGAGATCAGCCTATTAATTGTATCGTGTACAATATTTTATACCTCCAAGGAAAATACTGTAGGTCTACGGTAAAATAAATTTCATTTTCCCACCGTTAAACTTCACCACTAATTGCTGTTGTGATAACTTTAACATGATCTTCTAACGACATTTCTTCTAACTTTGCATTTCTTTCGTTTTTTGGACAATTTCGAACAAAATGAAATGAATTTCCTTTGTTGTTAGAATAATTCATTAACACCTGCACCTAGTTTTAAGGATAGGAGAAGTGCTGAGATGGGTTTGAATGAGAGTTTAGACTAATTCATTATATTAGGAGAGGGGAAACGTTGTTGAATAATAGTTTAGACCAGATATATTCGTGGAAGTGGTTGCTTATTACAGTTGTTGTATGTTGTTTCGGACTAAAAATCTATGCCCATGGTCGCGTTACACGGGTGGTTGTTTAATACAGGTAACTTATACGAAGACTCTATGGATAAACTATTTGGTGCCAGAAATTTTTGCCCGTTTTGACAGGTGCCCATCGAATGCAGGTGGTCGCCTAAGCAGTTTTCACTGTATTTATTTCTTGTGAACCATTAGAACATTTAAAGGAATCTTTGTTAGGATATGAATTTAATTTTTATTCTTTGTTTAATGATAATAAAAGTCTTATAACATTGTTCAAGGTATATAAACTTTTTCAAGATTCACTAAATCTATTACAGCATAATACTAACTACTAATTTTGTTTAATGACTTTGTGTAATAAATAAGTATACTTTATGTATATGTATTTGTTGTGTTTTGATATGATGTTATTTTTAATTATTAATAATATATGTAAATGATACTTATTCTGATATGTGTACCTATTATCTTGTTTTCTTTTTCTCCCCCTTGTAAAGATGCAAATCAAATCAATAAATATTATTATTATTATTATTATTATTTTATGTAATGCAACATTTTTATTTATTGATCTAGATCAGGGTTGCCAAACTTTTTTAACTGTCGACCCCCAATCACTTTCCAAAGCCTCACATTGACCCCCACCGTAAAGTTTTATTACAAGTGTATATGTATGAGTGAAAAAAAAAAACCTTGTGGGTTGTGGTCTCTATCTAAGCAAAAAACAAAAAAAAAGGTTGTGACCCCTTAGCCGCATCGACCCCCTAGCCACATCAACCCCTGGGGGTCCATATCGACCACTTTGGCAACCCCTGATCTAGATGCTTAAGATTGAGAGTTTCAGATTTCTATTTTTTTTAATCTATTATGATTGATTAATTTTTTGTTTGTTTTATATTTAATATTTTCTATTTTTTCTTTTGACTTTGAATGAATATTTGATTTTTATTAAATAATTTTAAATTTTATGTACTATTTAGGTTAGAACACATTGGCAGGATGCAAGAGTGACATTAGAACGTCCGGGACCAATTGATCCTACTGGACCATGTGCTAACACTATTCCACAAGATGACAAAAAAGTAGTCTCTCTTCCTCATGGTAAATATAAAATATGACTTTAGACCATTTTTTGTAGAGAAAATATCAAACATTTAAATTATACTTCAAACCTTATTCTAAGGCTAAAAGAGATTTTTAATGATACTTTTTTTTTCTTTAAATTATTTAAATTTTGAAAAATTATGCTATTGATCATTTTATTAAATATTTTAATTTATTTCACTTGTTTATTATTAACAATTGAGCATGTCTGATGATGTGAAAACTTCTGATATTTTTAATATCAGAAGTTTTCATATCATTTTGAAAATATAAGAATTTTATACATGAAATCAGAAGAAATGTATCTCTAATAGTACAGGAAATTAAGAAAATAGTAATAAAAAATGTTTGTATTTATGTACATGTACACATTTAGTTAATGTACTGTACAGTATATTATATTAGTTTATTATAATGATGATTTGAATAATTTAATTAAAAATTAATACTTTCAGATGAACGTTACGTAGTAGTTTATCCTCCAACTTGCCTAGAGAAAGGAAAGAATTATAAACTTATAATAGATTTTAAACATTATGACAGAGAGGTTGACACACCTTCTGCTTCAGTCCTAATAGATTCTGTAAGTATTTACAATGGGATAGCTATATTTGACTTAGTAATTAAATTTTTTTCAGTTTTATAAATAATGATTTAATTAAAAACCATTCAAATTAATTTGAATAATTAATACAACATTTCTTAAAATAGTTCTCTGAAGAAACTACTTGCTTTATATTTTTATGCATATATTACTAATATTAAATGATATTTATAATGATTTGATATTATAAGAAACAATTTTAGTACACTGAAAATATAATTAATATAATTCAACGTCTCTTAATGGACAAATATTTTCAAATCATTTGCTCTTGTAAAGTCAGGTAATTTACTTCTGAGATACAATTTACATTTAAATTATGTTGTTATTTTTTATATTTAATTTTTATGATTTGTAAAAGTTGATTCTGTAGACTAGTTTTTAGTTAATTTTTCTATTTTTTAATTAGTAAATTATAAAAGCACTAATTAGTAATTTTTATTATATATTAATATTTATTACTAAACAGAATTATATAGAATTTTGTTAAAATTAAAAAAAAAACTTTTTTGCATATTTAAGATAAAATACAGTGGATACTTAAGTAAATTTTTAATCAAAAGATACATTTATATTATTTAATTAAATCTGACATATTGGACATAAAAATATAAATAAACCATAAAGCTTTTTATTTCAGATTGTGTGAGATTTTGACATCAAGAATCTAACAAGATTCTGACATTGAGAACAAAAATCAAAATATTTTTAATTATAAACCTTTATTTCTCAATGAAACAAAATTTAAAGATGAAGCTGCTATGTTCAAGAAACCAAAATTTTTCTTTATTTGGTAACGTCTTTTGGTTTATATTTATTGCAAGCTGAAAATGAATATAGAAGGGCCAAATTTGCTACTAAATAAAAAATAATTTTGATTTCCTAAAACTTAGCATTTTGGTCTTTTTAATGTGACTAAGTTTCATACATTTTAATGAAAAAAAAAATTTCACAGTGTTAAATCCAAAAACTTTAATAAGTATATTTCTTTTTAAATTTCAGATTTTAGATTAATTTTAATTCAATCTTCAGAACTATAAAATAACAAAGCTTCAGTCTGAAATAAAATCAGTGCATATTTACACTCTATTCAGAATCTTTAAAAAAAGAATTTGTTATCAATGTTTAGAATATTTTAGAAAATACTTCTTACAAACAAAATATTCAAAGATATATCTAATTTTCCCAAATGTAACAATGATTAAAATTTGCATAGTTTTTGTTATTATACTTCCTCACATTTCAATAAAAAATTCAATAAAATTAACTTAGGCAAAATAGAAATGTTTTTATTTTGTTGCAATATGTCAATATTTATTATTTGTTTCATTTGTAAATTATAAATTATGTAGAAAACAAATTTGAAAGAGTAATTTAATTGATAATTATAACACATATAGGTTGTTCTTATACCAAGAGCAGACAGTATACCATTTTTTCAAGGGACACCAATAAATGATTATAGAAGACAGGAATATGAACGTTTGCGTTGTGGTTCAGCATATTATAATGTTCTTCGACCAGTTCCACATGACGTTTGCAAAAAATACTTGTATAGCATTGGATTTTATGTTTATGGTGAAGCATATGGTAAATAATATTTTTTTATATATTTTTATTTTATTATATTTTTATTTTTTGTAAATAATATTTTAAAATGTTTATCTACAGTTTTTTTCCAAATTGTGCAGTGTAATTTGATCAACTTGTTATTTGTGAGAAAAAATTTTGACAAAAATTGATAAATGTTTTTATTTATTTATTTTTATAATAATAATATTATAATAAGAAAATAAAAATATTATTATATTTTTAAATAAATTCAGTGAAATTTTTTATGTA